GGGGTGGGGGGGGAGAGAAGGAGAGGGGGCTTTCACCGGGCCCAGGCCGGGGGCTGCCAGTCCCGGAGCATCGCACACACGGTTCCCCGCGCCTGCCCTGCCTCTGCCTCTCCTGAGTGTCCACCTTCTGGCCTCAACAGTGCAGCTCATGCAAGGTTCTCGGCATGCAAAACACAAGAGGGACGGAGCGGTGGGGGGAGGGGGGCTGAAACGGAGGGGGCTCCAGGACGGGCACGGGGGCTGGCATTGCCCCCCGATGGGACGGACGATCCCGGCAGAGAGTAGAGAGAGGGCGGGCACCGGGAGGCCGGGCCGGGGCCAGCCCCCCAGACCAGGCCCCCCCCAGCGCGTGGGGGGTGGGTGAGGGGATGGAAGGGGCACACGGCACACAGATGGGGGTGGGGGCGGGGCGGGACAACTGAACTCAAAACTGAACCGAAGAAAGGGAGGAAAAACAGAAATAAAAAACAAAATCCACAAATGTCATTAGATACCAAAATCAAAAACAATGTCTGAACTCCTGGGGAACTGACATTTTTTCTGTTAACATTTTTCTTTCTTTGTTTTCCGGCCCTGCAGAGACCTGTGGAACTGTCAGTAACACCCGACTGTCTTTCTGTTTCTCTCTTTTCTTTTCCTTTCCTTTTTTTTTTTTTTAAAGTTCTGATTTTTTTTTTAAGTCCCTCTTGGTTAACGTCCACTTACCAATAAAGTGGCACTTCCTCCTTTAGTAGGTAAGGTGTGTAAGAGAAGGGAAAAGTGTGGTAGCGTAAGTTCATCATTAGATTCACAAAAATGCAAGAGAGATAGAGAGAGAGAGAAAAAAAAAACGCAACCACCCCATTCTAGGCCGAGAGGAGGCCACACCGCCTCTGGAGGAAGGACTGGCCGCGCCCGGCTCCTCGGGCCTGAGCAGGCACCTCTTGGGTGACTGCTGGATAGAGATGTCCAATGTTCTTCCAAAAGTGCAGTTAGGACACAAGGGTTGGGGTACAGAAAACCAGAAAGGGAGCCTGGTACCATCGAAAGGGCCCTAGCTGGCAACCAGGGGTCTGAGAGCCTGCCTCTTCCTCACTGAGTGACCCTGGCTAAGTCACTTCCCCACTCTGGGCCTCAGTTTCCCCATCCCCAAAACGAGAGGATTGGGCGCTGCTTCCTGATGTCCCTACCAGAGCAAATACTCCAGGATTCTCTGTGTACCCCTGACCACCCTCTCCATCCTCCTCCCCTCACAGAACAGACCCCTCCTCTTGTCCTCGGGTTTCCAGCTTTCTGTCTATCTGGTAACAGTTGGTTCCACCTGTCTACCCCACCCCCAACCACCAGCACCAACTTGACTTCGAAGCACCTCCAGGGCAGAAATTTTTGGTTGGATTCAGCTCCGTAACCTCAGTTTTTATCGCAGAACTTGGCATTTAGTAGGGCCTCAATGCTGTTGCTGAAGAAGGAATCATTACAAGGGTCGGGGCCAAACCAGGTAGTACTAAAAGAGGGGCAGGGTCTGGGCCAAGCTTTTTTGGCAGGCTCCTGGGATGGGAGAACAAAACCAGCTACCTACCACCCCTCAGGGCACCTTGCTGCCAGAGACTGAAAGCATGGTTTCCTTGGCATGGCCTGTGCTTCCTGCAGGAGGTGGGGTGGTGCCCAGGCCCTTCCCTGCAAGCCTGGATCCAGCCAGGGCTTGGAGGCAGAGCCAAGAAGTCGGTCCCATGGGAGGAAAGGCACAGCCAGCTCTGATTGGTGGCTGAAGCAGCCAATGAACACTAGCCATAGCAGGTGAGAGCAGCTGTCCAGAGTCAAATGGGCCATAAAGGCCTCCTGGGAGAGCCTGGCGTCTCTCCCTTGGGGGCTCAGGCAGGGTGGATATCTGAGCACCCCAGCTCTCCTGATGACCAGCTCACCTCTCATCCTGGGCTAGGAGCCATGGCCCCTCTGAGACGGCAGCTCCAAAGTCAAGAGACATTACCAGGAGACACTTGGCTCTCCTAACACATATCCCCTGCACCCCAGCGGGTGGCCAGCGCCTACAGCTCCCAAGCCCCCAGAGGAGGCAAATGAGAAAAATCTCCAGAATCTTCACATTTCCAAGTTCTTTCCTATCTCCTGGGTTGTCTGAGAGTGGAAAGTGAACAGATCCCAGGCAGGGGAGTGGGGGCCCTGGTGGCCAAGGCATAGTACCCAAACCCAGGAAACGCTGGACCCCACCCTAAAGAAGCCTTTGCTTGCTATTCTGATGGGGGGGGGGGCGTGCAGCCAGGCAAGCAGGCAGAATAGTAAACATGGGGGTCAAGACCTGGCTGTGAACCCTGGCTCCAGCTTAGACTCTGGATCTGAGCCAGCTTCTCTGACTCCAGGAGACAGGCCAGCAGTGGGGGAAGGAGACTGAAGGCCCCAGTGTTCCTTCCCACAGACACTGGGGGGGGGGGGGTCCTCTCTACTTCCCACTGTTGGGCTGGGCGTGTGGTGGGACTGTTAGGAGCAAAAAGGGTCTGGGTTGGGTGGACGCCCACCTGCATCACGTTGCTGTCCGCAACCACTGAGGCCCAAACCTCTGTGCCAGACCCCCTGTGCTTATCTGGAAGCTTTCTGCCTGGCGTGCCTTGAAGTCAAGTCCTCCTCCCTCTCTCCTCCTCCAAGCCAAATGCCATAGCTTAAGATGATGGTAAGTGGAAAAGTGGCACACCTGGAATCAGCCCTGATATGAGTTTGCTGTGATCTAACTCTGGGGGCCTCAGTTTCCCCATCGATAAAGTGGGGATAACTGGGGTCTTTGCTGGGGGAGGCGCCTGTATAGGAGTCGAAAGGTTCTTTTCAGAGCACAAGTGACTCACAGTCCCCTCACGGATGAACGGGGTCAGAGCAGCGCAGGAAGGTCTGGGCATGGCCACGTGCCAGGAGGGCAGAGGACGGGACGAAGGCGCTGCTGGGCAGGGTGGCAGACAGCGCCTTCCCTGGGGGAAGATTCCTTGGGCCAATCTCACATTCTTATCCACCCATACCTCCCTGGAGAAAGGGTCGCCATGGTCCCGCCAGAGTGAGAGCCCCCTCCTCAGCTTGGCCGGGTCTCATTTTTCCCAGGAACTGAGGGAGAAATCAGTCCAGACACCATGGGATTTCATAGCCAGACGGGACTGTTGTGGCCAGGGACCTCCAAACATCTCCTCCAGAAGCCTGCTCTTTGTGACTCCCGTTCCCTCTTCCCCTTCCTTGCCCTCACCACCCCCTCACAGCCTGGCTAATGCCTATGGGCCCTGTGCTCGATCAAGACCACCTCCAGGAAGCCTCCCCTGACCCTCACCCTGAAACAGGTGCATTCCTCTGTGATCCCACAGACCCTTGGGCCTTCTCTCAGTATGGACTGTGCAGGGCTGTGAGGCCTACTGTGGTGAGCAGAGTTCCCCACCTGTTGGCTCGGCTTTTCCCCTCTAATTGTTCTGAGTGACCTTTGTCAGTGCCCCAGCCTGATAGGTGGGGGCCGCAAACCAGTTCCCTCAAACCCAGGCACGGACACCTAGCACGGGACCTGGCACCGAGGAGGGCTCAGCGGATGCTGGCTGAGTGTGTGTGTGAGTGAATGAGTCCGTGAACACAGAGGACCTCGCCTGTCTCTGAGCCCGGCTTCCAGGCTTCCAGGAGCCCCTCTGCTCCTTCGTACCACCTGCTCTCTGATACCTTCTCTTTAGCTTACATAAGAAATGTTTGGAGGGAAAAGGCAATGGAAAAGAGTAAGGCAAAAGATGATGTGCCAGCCCCATCCCGGGATTCTTAAGGACGAGAACAGTGAGCATCTGAGATGCTCCACCCCCTCTCCCCCAGGGCTCAGCTAACTACCCCCTCTAGCTCAGCATGTGGCGATCCCGTTTCTGGGTCCCTGGTCACATCAGGTCCTCTACTCCTCCCATCAGGCTGGGACAGTCTACCCGTGGGACCCAGAGTGATTTCTCTCCCTGAACAACTTCCTGTCTGCCCTCCCAACACCACTCACAGCCGAGCAATATTCTGAGTGGGTGAGCTCCTCACAACCTGCCCCTGGGGTCAACATAGGGGAGCGGGGGGGGGGGGGGCGGCGAGGAGGGTGAAGAGCCGGACTTTCTCTTTCCAGAGCTGAGGACGGAGGTCCGCTGATGCCTCACAAGGACTGGGATGTCAAACTTCTGCAGCTACTCCCAGGTGGGACAGGAAACAGTTTAAAGAGCTGGGGTGGGCGGTGGGGTCCGAGGACCTACCCCCAACGTGGCTGGATTGGGCACTGGCCTGGGAGTCGCAAGTCTCAGGACCTAAGCTCGGTTCCGCTCCAACACCTCGGGGAACCCCGGCTGTCACTGACTGTCCTTTCCGAATCATTCTGCACATTAAACTCAAATTCAGAAGATGGAACGATGCTGGGGGCAGAGGGAGACCCTGTCTGAGCTGAGTAGTGGTCCAGGCAGGGGGGAGGGTGAGCTGAGAGTCCCCTTCGTCCCCCACATTGCCCCACTGAAACTTTACTAAGTAGGCCCTCTGAGTCCAGTGCCAGCTCACTGGGCCCCTGAAGTTCAACGACCATTACACCCAAAAGATGGAGCCGTGAGGTTCAGCCCTGGTGCCAGCTGCTGCCCCAGAGTCTGTAGGTCCTGCCTGAAAGCTCCAGCTGCCACCAGGGCAGGACCCTTGGGAGCCCAGCAGGCCCTGGAGGGTGGGGCAGGGCTCTTTCATCAGGTTTGGCCTCAGCCAGAACTTCTTCCAGGATCTGGAGGCCAAGAGGCCAGCACACGCTCCTCCACCACTGCTTAGTGCCAAAATGGGCCCCGGGGGCTGGCAGGGGTGAGGGGTGGGGGGCTTAGCAGCTACTCCAGACAACAGAAATCAAATTGGCTCAACCGCAGCATACAGTTCAGGAGGAGAACACAAACTTGGAAATGCTAACCACACAGAAATGCATTCGGACACCAAAATGAGAAAGAGAGGGAGTGGGGGGACGGGGCTTGGAGGGGTGGGGGTGGAGGTGGGGTCGGAGAGGAAGAAGAAGGAGCAGGGAAGGTGGAAAGGAGGGGGAAAATGAACCAGAAAAGTTGTCGGGGAAAGTCAAGAAAACCAAACGACAAACCAGGAAACACAGCTTTCGTACGTAGCTCATTTGGAGAAAAAAAATGCAAGTTACAAATGAGGAGTCACTAAAACAAAGAAAGAAAAGGGAAGGAGAGAAAACCAACCAGAGCGAGATCGAGAGAAAGAGAGAGAAAGAAAACCACATTCAAACCAAGCAGAGTGGCAGGGGGCTTATCTGGAGATGGGAGCGAGCGGGGCGGGGCGCACAGCGGGGCCGGGATACCTACCTTCTCAGTGGTCAGGGACAGGAATGCAATAATAAAAAAGAAAAGAAGATCTCCGCATTGGGAATGCAGAAGGTGGGGGGGGAAGACGGTGACTCTAAGCTGTGCTCCCCCTTGGGAACTGGCACCTGCATGTGCAGCCAGGGTGGCTTTCGGTCTAGTCCCAGGGGTGGGAGGGGGCTCCTGCCCAGCCATTTTGGTCTGCTTTTTTTGTTTGCTTTTTTCTTTTTGTGTTTAAACCCGCAGGCTCCAATAGCCAAGCTTTCCTTAACTCTTTAAACAACAGAAAACCTCCAGAGGGCATGCAGGAAGCAGCGGATGGAAGCAGAACCAGAGGGTGGGCTCAGGAGGGGCTGGCAGCAGGGGGAGAGAGGCCCATGTGGGGGGAGAGATGGAGAGAGAGAGACAGAGACAGAGAGATGCAGAGAGAGAGGGAAACAAAGGCAGAAGGAAACAGACAGGCAGGGAAATAGAGAGAGGCGGGCCCAGACAGAACAAAGAGAGAGAAGCTATTACAATGAGGCAGAGTGGACAGATGGGGTGAAGGGATCAGTGCATTTAAAAGGGAAGGCAACCACAGATTCAGTTTGGAGGCCTGAACCTGCCTCAGGTCAACTGCTTTCCCCCTCTGCTTAGGCGTCATTTTAGCAAAACCCATCCCTCCTGCCTTCTGGCTTCGGCCTGGGAGAAATGCCAAGATGCCGCTTCCTATTCTGACTGCCCCCCCCCGCCCCCCCCCCCCCCCGCAGCTGTGGTTACTGCTCTTTCCTGGGGGCAGGAGGGGGGGGCCGGGGTGGAGCAGGTGAGGCAGTCCCACGGACACCTCTTCTTGGGTCACCCTAGGCTGCCCATTTCGTGATGAAATTTGAGCCAGAGGCGGAGGCCAGAGAGAGCCTGGGGGCCTGGCTCAGGAACCTTCTCTGTCACCCTCACCAAATGGAGAGGCTTCCCTTGACACTTCCAATGCCAGGGACAGGTGGAGCCAAGGCAGGGGGCCCTCCTCCTAAGTCCTTAAACACCTCACACCTTTTCTGGCACTTGGGCTCAGCATCTTACTTCTCCATCGCCAAATCACGTGACCATGAGCAGCCCCCTTCCCTCTCTGCCCCACTATTTCTGTCCCCATACGTGTGTGAACTGTGAGGGCTTAGGGTTTCTGAGTCACTGAGGTGACAGTTTTATAGAATTGGGTTTGCTTAATGCTGGGCCCACCTATTCCCTGGTCTCTGTGTGGGTGGGCCCCAGTGCCAGGGAATTGAGAGCTGGGAGTGTGCCGTGGACATCTGAAGGGGTCCCCAGGGGGAAGGCAGGAGCTGAGACAACCAGCACCCACCTCCAAGCCCTCCTCCCCTTACTCAGGGCTCCCAGAGTGTGCTTTTCCACTGGCTACTCTCTCCACTGGCTGGTGGTCTCGAGGTGAGGGGGCTGGAGTCTCCTTTTGGATCTACCTCTAAAAAGCTGTGTGACCTTGAGCCGGTCACTTGACCTCTCTGAGCTCCTGGCAGTAAATAGCAGAACCCAGAAATCCCTTTGGGGGTTTAATCCTGACCTGGGACGGGACAAGAGAGCCGTGGCGGGAGCCAGCACCCAGCTGGCCTTTGTCTCAAGATGAGGATTTTTGTCTTGCCTGGGAATGTCCGGCTCTGAAGCCCTCACCTGGGCTATAGGTGTGGACAGCTCCCTCCTCTAGGATCTGGGGCCTGGCACTGAAGGCCTTGTGCAGCCTGTCCCTGTCTCCCCCAGCCATCTTATACTAGAAGGAACTGGGGAGCCATAGGGTGCTCACTGCCCCTGGATGTTCCTCCGGTGACCTGGGAAATATCTCTCTTCCTCCCGTCTCCCAGCTTCCCTCCAACGTTCCTTAGAGACAGGGACAAGGAAGAATGGCCTGGCCTGGGGGCCACTTCTGTTCATTTAAAAGCTGAGGCATTTCCAGCACATGCCCTGGGGTTGAGGAGTTGATTGGCTGCCGCTGCAGATTTCGCAGGGGCTGCTGGCGTGGGAGTCATTTTTTAAGAGTTATCTTCCCTTTTAAATTCTGGTTACAAAGGGAAAAAGAATAAGTGTAAAGACATATGTATATGGTCAGTGTTCACTTGAGATTCAGGACCCATCTCTGCATTAGGAGGAGAGGCTCCCACAGTAACACGCACAAAAGCAAAATTCTAGAGCAACATAGAAGATAGAAAAAAAGAAAAAAACAACCAGAGAGAGAGTTTGCATTTCTGTACATTACCAAAGGAAAAAAAAAAAAAAGAAAGAAAGAAAATACAAACAAAAACAAAACAGGAAAAAGTTACATAAACTTCCCCACCCTCTTCCCTTGCCAACTGAACAGGAAAATGGAATCACAATATTACCACGGTTCAAATGGGAGGCTAAAAAAACAAGCAAAAACATAGACGGGGTTAAAAATGGTGAGCTTTTCTTTTTTTCCGTTTGTTCTCTCTCTTTTTTTTTTTTTTTTTTAAGGTAGCGTCCAAGAATACCCCCGCCCCCCAGTACTTGTCCCCAAAGACATTTTTGGTGACTGGCAAAGTCTCCACACACACACACACACCCCCCGCCCCCATCTCACCTCCCTGGAAGGGTGCAGGTGAGAGGCCTGGATGTCCTGAGGTCCCAGATCTCGCAGGGCCCGAGGGAAGGGAGAGGATTTGGGGAACATGCTTTGTGAAAGGGGTAACAGAGTGCCGTCTCCCAGGAGGCTCCAGGAGCAATGTCAAAATGGAATCCCATTCTGGGAGGCAGTCAAGATGTGGGTGCGGCCGACAGGGCACCCTCCCCAAGGCTAGAGGCTACACCCTCTTCCCTGGTTGCTCTGTCCTGGGGTCTACTTCATTGCTGTGGCTATTTTGTCTGTACGTGTCCAGGGCTCTTGGTGGCCTACTGCTCAGGGAGGGGAGGGGACCAGAAATGGGATGGAGCTTCCTTTTGGCCCTGGCTTCGTTCTGTGCCTTTCCAGGAGGATGAGAAGCTCCCCTGAGAAGGTGTTTGGGGGCTCTGTGCCCATGGTGGTGGGGGGACGGGCACACTCTCTTCTGAGTTTGTCCACTGTCTCTGTCCTGGCTGCCTTCAGCTACCTTTGTGTGTCCTCTTCCACCCCCAGGACAGATCCAGGGACACTGGTGTGATCCTCCCTATGTGGCCCAGCCAGGCCCTTGGGAGCTCAGGAGCCTGGCACCCTGTCCAAGTGGGGCAGTCCCGAAACAGGTAATGTCCTTAAACAAAAATTAACCTTGACGCCAAGAGCGTTTTGTCTGCGGCCTTTGGCTTTCCTCACTAAGGCCTTGGCGGTGAGGGTGTTTGAGAAAATAAAGGGAGTGAAGGAAACAGCCAAAAATCAAAATGAAACTGACCAACACGGACATATTTGCTGCTGAGACCGGAGGTCTGGGGAGGGGCAGCCCCCACCCTCCCTGCTGGGAGGCAGCCTTAGGGTCTGGGGTGGGGGCACCTGCAGGCCTGTCCACCCCAAGTCCCCCTGCCCACCCAGTGCCCCTGCCAGTACTGCAGCCCCGTCTCCCTGAGATCAACGGATACAAGGGGATGTGGGGCTCCCCTGGGGCTTGGGAGAACGCCCCCTGCCCAGCCCAGCCTAGCCCCTCCACCTGGGAAAGGCCGAGAAGCCTGTCTGTTCTGCCAGCCGCTGCCATCGCCACAGCTGCTTGTGGGTCTCAAGGAGTCCTGGCCCCTCTTGGAGGATGGGTGGGAACAGTTTTTGGGAGGTGTTGGTGTGGAGTCTCTGAGGGAGCAATGGGGACACTGGCAGGTGCTTTAGGAAGGTTGGAACACGGGGAACAAGGGTGCCTGCAGGTTTGAGACATCTGTCCACACGTGGGCAGCCAGTCCCTGGGGGAAAGGACACACTGTCCTTGGAAAAGGGACTTTAGAAATGCAGCTCGGTGGCCGCTTGGGGACAGAGAAAGGGGAGGGCTTCGAGGGAGAGGGAGGGGCCAGTGAGAGGGTTGAGGGAGGGAGGGCGCTTGGAGAGGGAGAGGGAGGCTCAGGGCCTAAGTGGTGCCCAGGGGAGACCCCGTCTCTGAATCCGGTTCCTGACTGCGACCCCTAGCATTGTCCATGCCCCTCCCACCCCAGTATGCCTGGAGAGAGGGAGGCAGGAGACCCCGGATTCTCCTCAGCTCTCTACCCAACTGGCTGGGAGTCCCAGTGGTCAACCCCCTCTGGCCATCAGTTTGCCAAGCTCAAGGGTGGCCCAAGCCTGCAGGCCCCCCTCGCCCTGACACTAGGGCCAGGTGGGCGCAACAACCAAGCATTCCAGGCCGCTCCCGAGCCGGGAGGGGGAAGCGGCGCCTCCCTCCCCCATTTACACACTCACCGCGCCCCGCCCGGCGGTGACACCCCACCCAGCGCGGCGCAGCCCGCACGGCGCGGGAACCCTCCGCAAAGCGAAGCGTACGTACATCTGGCGGGCTGTGCGCCGAGCCGGGGCGGCCCCCGTGCGCTCCGCTCCGCTGTCTGTTGCCGCCGTTCTGCTGGGGCGACCCCCACCCGCTGCCGCCGGACGGGGAAGGCGACCGGCTCCCGCTGGACCGCTGGCTGCCCGTCTTCCGCCCGTCATCTCGGTGCTTGGGGCTCAGCCTGGGGGGTGGGGCGTGGGGAGGGGACGTGGCGGGCAGCCGGCGTGGGACCGCCCCCTCTGCGAGCGGAACCGCTGCCCCTTCCCCTGCCTCTCACTTGCATTTAGAGAGCAAGGCCCTGGCCCACCTATTGCCTCGACTTCCAAGAGCCGCGGCCGGAAGCTCTTCCTCGCCCATTTGCAGGGGGGTGGGCACCTGCACCCTCCTGGTAGACTTCCACCCACCAACTGCTCTTCTGCCCACCAGCCTCTTCCCCAGCCCTTGGGAGGGTTCGATCTGCAACTCCCCACCCCCCAGCAGAGCTGAACCGAGCTGAACGTCCTCTGGAGCGTTTCGAAGGGGCCCAGGACCTACCTGCTGGGTGATCTGGAATCGCTGTAGTGGGAGGAGAGGGAGGGGCTCTGGGAGCTGCCGCTGCTGTGGCGACGGGGCCTCCGACCCGGGGACTCCGCGTGTGGCCTGGGAGAGAAACCAGCCAGTACCTAAGTTCCGCCTGACTGCCCCACGGGGGACCCCGCCCCCTATAGTACCCTACAGAAATAGCCTCTCTAGTCCATGGGGGTCATTTGTGGGAATTAGGAGAAAGCACCCTCTTCTCTAGACAGCCCGGACCCCCAAGACCTCACCGGCTCCTCAGCTGGTGTTCTTGTGACTAGGGGGTGAGGGACGCGGGGAGTAACAAAGACAGAGTTTGAAAGAACCCAGGACTGGGAGGCAAGAGGCCCCCCGGTTCCAGTTCTGGCTCTGCCACTGACACACAGGGGCTCTTGGCTTCCTCTCTGGGTCGGGATTTTTCCATCTGGGCAATGGGGACCAAACGAACTATCTCCAAGGGCCCAATTCCGTGCTTCTAGAAGGCCAGGTTTGCCGGAGTGGGGGAAGAGTGGAGGGAGGTGGAGGAGCTAGAGAATGGGGACAGGTTCTCACCTCTTCCTCTCTTTGTTCTTCTCTTTCCTTTTGCTCTTGGGGCTTCGAGATCTGCAGAAAGCAGAGGCTGAGGGGACAGCTCGGCCTGAGCCCGGCAGGGGGTGTGCCTAGGTAGGGAGCTGAGGGAGCTGAGATTTGTTCCTGTCTGGGATCTGAGCCCCCCACCCCTACCCCAGCTGGTGTGGACTCGCTCATCCCACCTCACTGCTTTGGTTCCTTTTCACACAGCCAAGCCTCCTTCCTTCCTTCTCCCAGGATCACTGCCCATCTGGGCCGGAGTCTTGCTCCTCCTGGGGGTGCCATAAGCGATGTGTCCACCACCCCAGAAGGTTGACTTGTCCTTTCCTTCTGGAATTGGTCTCAGGACAGGCCCCTCTATGAGTCATGGTGGTGGGGGTGGCCCTTCCACACCTAATTTGTGTCCCCTGTTCCCAGGTCCCCTCAGATGGGGCTCTCTAGGGCAGAGCCCAGGCTTCCTGCCTCTCTGCCCCCTCAGAGAGTGGCCCAACTCTGGGCTAGCTCCCCGGGGGTTTAGGAAAGAGATGCTTTCCCTTGGGCATGATCTCCCTGCATTTGAGTCCTCTGGATTCTCATCAAGCGCTGTTCCCAAAGCTTTCCATCCCACCCAGTCCTGCCCCCTATAGTCCCATCCCATCCAGCTCCCTGGGCCAGGCCCCACAGTGTTCTCCTTCTACCTTTGACAAAAGGATTGAAAAGTTTCCTAGTAGGTGTCTAAGGTCTCACTGCACCCCTGATCCCTGTAGATCTCTTAGCCCCACTCTCCCTGATGCCACCAGATTTCCAGCTGGATGCTTCTAGTCCTGAACAGATGCCTCTTTCTGACCAAATATGAAGTGATGCTAAGAAAAAACTGGGATGTGTTTCTCACAGGAGCAGAGTGGGTGGGGGCAGGCCCAGGAGGCCAAAGATTTTAGTTCTAGAACCCATGTTGCTTGCTTTGGGCTTCAGTCTCCCCACCTGGAGCTGCTCTAGCCCTAGGTGGTCTCTAGGTCCTTCCCAGGACTCCTGGGAGCTGGCCAGAGGATCTGTGCACATGGATGGTGACCACTAGGGGGCAGTAGGGGCCCATACTGGCCCCTGAGAAGTGGGGAAGAGAGGAAGGGAAGATGGGAAATTGGGGAAATTAGAGATTCAGGATTATTTATTTAGGCTCCTACCCCACCTGGCAAATGACCCTCGGCGAATTCCCACTGCAGGAATGAGACTGGGGATTCTGTCCCTCTTCAGGGCTGCTGGGAGGTCCTCTGGCCCTCATGCCCACCCTGGGGCTGGGACGGCCTTACATCTTCCTTCCCTCCATGCTGAGTTCTCTACTTTCCCCACTCCAGCCTCTGCCAGGGCTCTTGACTTTCACCTCCTCCCTCCCCTCCCCTAATCCATCCTGAACAATCTCTGTCCTGCTCAGAGCCCCATGCTGGCTCCCAGCCCCGCCTGGGTGGAGGCCAGCTCCTTGGCCTGTCAGTCAGGTCTTTTTGGGGGCTGGCACCTGTCCTCCAGACACAACTGCCAGCCACAGCCACAGCTCGCCCACCTGTCTCCCACCCACTGAGCTTTCCTTCTGTATGGATGCCCTTTCCCTGCAAATGTGGGGTCTTGAGCTTCTCCCTTCCTGACATCAAGGCTGACTCATGGGACCAGAAAGCTTTGCAAACAATTGGCCTTCCTTCTCGCCCCCCACCCCCAACTTTCCCTGCCTGCCTCCCGGACGGAGTCCCGGAGGGAGGATGGAGCAAGGGAAGACCCTCACCAATCCCCTCCCATCACTGCTTCCCTTGGGCCTTGGTCCCCACGGGGTGGCACTAGCCTCTGTCCACATCCTTAGCAGGGCATCACTCACCTGTGTCGTCTCTTCTTCCGGGACCCAGAATCAGACCTGTAGGGCCACGAAAGGGTTCTCTTGAGCTTGTCTGGGGTGGCCTGGGGACACAGATCTGCACAGCCATGGTCCTGGGCCGACAGGAGTGAGAGGAGGCCCCAGGGGAGGGAAGGTACCTGTCTCTTCGGTGCTTCTTCACACTCTTCTTCTTCTTGCGCAGGGGTGAGGAGCTCCCACAGCTGCGGACACAGGGTGGGGTAGGTTCTAGTGAACTGGTGCCCGGGACGGGGAGGGGCAGCTGGAAATGCTGGGGAAACCTGGGTGTCTCGGGCATCTAGCTGAAGCCGGCTGCCCATTGTACAAAGCGGCTGCCCATTGTACAAAGCGAACCGAGGCCCTGAGGGCCAGCAAGGTCCCTAAGGTAAGTGATGGAGCTGCCCGTGTTGTCCCCTAGCCACCCTTTAGCCTCCTTGGCATTTTGAGTGAGGGCTGTTTCAAACCCAAATGTTAGAGGCTCCAATGGTGGGATTTCTGGCCTCCGTGGGCACAGCTGGCACATTGGCAGTGTCCAGGGCCTGATGTGGCAGGCCTCCTGCCTCTGGGGGATGGTCTTGGAGTCTTGCCCACCCACAGACATCCCCACTCCTGTCCCCACCCCCCCCCGCCCCTGGTAACCAGTGATACTGACCTGCACTCAGAGTCCAGTCTCCTCTTTTTGCTGAGGGCCAGGGAGAGAAAAGGACAGACAGTTGGACAGAGTTAGTTGGGGCTCCAGAAGTCTGCAAGGGATAGGAGAGGGGGACACACAGATGGGGAGCCACAGATGTGACCCAGCTAAACCCCTCCTCCCCGGGCCACTCACACTTGTGGTGGTGAGTGCAGGACCGCCGGGGGAGCGAGAAGGGGGGACTGCGAGCCCGGGTCTAGCGGGTCCACCCAGGAGCCGGATCAGTGTGTCTAGTTCTGGGGTAGGTGAGTGCCAATAAGGGGAGAGGGCTGGGCGAAAGGGAGGGGCTCCGCGAGGGGGAGGAGCCTGGTGAGGGGGCGGCCCTTCGTTCCCCCCCCCCCCCCCCCCCCCCGCACAGTGAGGGGGCGGGAATCTGTAAGGGCAAAGGGTCGCGGCGAGGCGCGGGGCTCACAAATGCAACTTTGGGTCTCCTGCCCGCAGAAGGGTGCGCACCTGGGGGACCCCACCGTGCCCCTCCCGCCCCCTCCGGCCGGGCGGCGCTCTCACCGGCTTCTCCGGTGGCCGCCTTTCTTTTTCTTCTTCTTCTTGGGAGGGGGCGACGCCGAGCTGCTGGACCAGTGCTTGGTCCTGGGTGAGAGGGGGTGGGGGGTTGGGGGTGGGCGGTGAGGGAGGAGGGGAGGCTCTGGCCCCCTTCCCCCCGCCCCTCCCCGCCGCGGCGGGCGCTGACCTGTACCCCCGGTGCCCGCGGTAGCAGGCGGCCGGGCAGTCGCAGTCCACCGGGCCGTCGTCCTCGTCCAAGGGCGCGTACTCCAGGCCCGGCTCCGCGCCCTCGAGCAGCCGCGGGGTCTCCGCCACGCTGCCGGCGACAGGGACGCTCACCACCCGCGCCCCAGGGCCGGGCCTTCCGCCTGCCCCTTTCTCAGCGCGGCGCCCCGAGGCCTGGTCCTCCCGCAAGGTCTGCGGGATGCGGCCCCGACCCCTAGAAGGTCAGTCGGGGATCTGGGCGACCCAAAGAGCCGCCTCCCTTGCAGACACCCGGCCTCAGCCGGGCCCTCCCGCCCCTTCGGCTCCTTCTTTGGTCTCACCTCTCAGTGAGCCCCCTCCACTCGCCGAGCCCCTCACTCCCATTCATAGTGCTCCTCTGCCCTCCCCAGCCCCCCTTTCCCGCACAGAGCCCCTTTCACCGATCCCTGTGCCCCTGAGCCCCACTGTCCTACCCCTACCCGCCTGCCCCTCGCTCAGCCCACTCCCCGTCCGCAGCCCCCCTTCCTCTCGTGAGCCCCGCTCTCCCCACCCTCCTAGCTCCCTAACCCCGCTCGCCGGCCTGGTCCCCACCCCCCTCCCCGCCGAGCGCCTCCCTCCCCGCCCCCATCCGGTCCCCCCGCCCCGGCCGCGGCTCTGAAATATTCATGGCCTCTCCTCGCCCTCCTCTCCGCAGCCTCCCGAGGCCCGGCTGCTCTTCTCCCGCTGCCGCTGCCGGGCTGTCATCAATCACCGCCCGGTGGCAGCGGCGCGGGCCCCGCCACTCCGCCGCCTCCGCGGCTCCCCATCTATCTTGCAGAGCCCTCCCCTGCGCTCAGCAGGGACCGCAGCGTCCCGTCCCTGCTCCCGGCTCTGGAGCCCACAGCCGTCTTCCGCCACAGATGTTCGCTCCCTGCGGGCGCTTCGCCGAGGGATGCTCTCTTCCTAAAGGCAGCGGGGCTTGCGGCTGGAGCATGAGCTTTGAAGCCGCAGGCGTGGCCTCATCGTGCACTGGCCCTGAGTCCCTGTGTGACTTGGTACCTGTCATCCCCCCTCTCTGAGCCCCTTCTCCGAGAGGAGCGTGATAACTGTCACAGGGCCGCTGGGGGATTCTCTGGGGGAAACAGTACTGTGCAACTTCTTCTTCAAGCCCAGAAGCGACCCTCCAAAGCCCAGCTCCAGGGTAATGGCTTCAAGGTGGTGGCTTCCCCACTTTCTGTTCTTTGTTTCTGGCTCAGACAGTGCCCTTCCCAGATGGAGGCTCAGCCCTGCTTCAGGTACCACTACCCTCACTCCTGGGTGCTGTTCGCCAGGCTCACTCTTTCCCTGCCCGGAGCAAGGCAGGCCAGCACTGGGGGTGGCAGAGCATTAAGGACATGACACGAGCTTTGGATTCACACAGACAGGTCTCAATCCAGGCATGACCATGCTCACTGAGTCCCCAGGCCTTTATCTCCACAAGCCCGAAAAGAATATCCCAGCTGAGGAGAGGATTAAGTGAGATTCGCTCTATGAAGCTCCTGACATGAGCGACAGGCCTGGCCCCAGACGGTCGTCCCACACATGGTTGCCACTGTTAGACAGAGGGACCCCTGTCAGACACTAACGCACCCTCACCTTCTCCCCACAGCTACAAGGTGAAAGAATTTCCAGGAGCAAATCTCTAGTAGAGCACCCACTAATCTGTTCTTTGAAGAACTGGTTTTGTAGGGCACCTGGGTGGCTCAGTTGGTTAAGCGTCTGACTTCAGCTCAGGTCATGATCCACAGCTCGTGAGTTTGAGCCCCACGTCAGGCTCTGTGCTGACAGCTCAGAGCCTGGAGCCTGCTTAGGATCCTGTGTCCCCCTCTGTCTCTGCCCCTCCCCTGCTCCCACTCTGTTTCTCTCTCTCTCAAAAATAAAACAAAAAAATAATAATAAAGAACTGATCTTGTATAAAAAAATAAAAGAATTGGGGAGCCTGGGTGGTTCAGTAGGTTAAGTGTTTTGACTTAGTTTTGGCTCAGGTCATGATCTCACAGTTTGTGAGTTCGAGCCCTGCATTGGGCTTTGCACTGACAGCGAGGGGCCTGCTTGGGATTCTCTCTCTCTCTCTCTCTCTCTCTCTCTCTGCCCCTCCTCTGCTCATTCTCTCTCTCCCTATCTTAAAATAAACTTAAAAAAACAAAAACAAAAAAAGAATGTACCCCAAATCTGACAGTGTTAGCTAGCCTGCAGGCCAGTATTAAGAATGCTGTTTGGTTCCTAAACCCCGACCTGGCCCGGGGCAACCCTGAAGTTGCACGGGTAGTGTGGGAGGTTTCTCTGGGGCAACGGAGGTGGGGGGGGGGGGGGGGTTACCGTCATTCCCCCTGCACCCCACAGAGCCAAACATCCCCATACCCCTCCATTCAAACCTCTCTGCTCTTCCCCACATTCCTCTTCCTGAAGCCAGTGGCCTCCTTCCTGTTCCTGAAATCTCCAGCTCTTCAGCCTGTCCCATGCGCCACCCCCCCCAAACTGTCCCCTACCCTGACGGTTTCACCCCCACACAGCCCTCAGCCGCACAAATGCCTGACACATAAACACTGTCTTTGGCAAAACTTAAGGGCACCTCAAACACTGTGGGTGAGCCGATGGCAGGAGGGAGCTCCGGAGTCTATCCTGACGAAAATGTGATAAAGGTTATTTACAAAACAAAACAGCTCCCTCTGGGCACTGCCCTGGGCGGGGATCCTTTTTTGCCTGTAACATCCGAACTCCTCCTTCCCCACACTGTGCCCTCCTGCTCTGCCGGCTGCACCCCTACAGACATCTTTCTTCCTCTGTCCTGGGGACAGAGCTTCTGTATTCTCCCTCCCTGGGGACTTCTCAGCTGGCCTTTCTCAGTCTGTGGTCCCTTCCGAGAGATTTACTTGGGCTCTCGGCTGCTGGGAGCATTGAAAGTACAAGCACAGGGCATTGAGTAGTGGGCTCAGGGAGGGGCACAGGTCTCAGAGCCTTCTGGTTCCAGAACCTCTGTGTCCTGCAGGTTCCAGGGGTATAAAAGGGCCTAGGCTGACGCTTCTCTTGCTGACTTTGTGCAGCTGATATCAGCACATCTGTTTTTCAGGATCTCCCAAGGCTAGAACCCTGTGTTCTCCTAGCCTGCCTTTCCTGGATGATAATATCACCAACAATAATGTTCTCTAATGTTTCAATTGCCCTCGAATGTCCACAAATCCCAATCAGAGTCACTGCCTGATTTAGAGAAATTGTACCTCCCCATTTTACAGAGGAGAAAACTGAGGCCCAGAGAAGGAAAGGAACATCCCCTTTGGTTTGGGAACTTTTGACTAAAGGATACAAGTTCACTTATGCAATTGGCTTTGAGAATTCATGTGCAAACAGGACAGGCCTTGACTTCACTGGCCAGCCCCTGCTGCCGATGTTAGCTCAGCCCTGGCCTCTACTTTATAGACACAGTTGTGGTTGTATTCACGGAGTTCTGGATAGGCATGGAGTTCTAGATTTGTGTAGCACTTCCTCCTCTTTTTAAAACATTTTTTAAAAAGTTTATTCATTTTTGAGAGAGAGAGAGACAGAGTGTGAGCAGGGGAGGGGCAGAGAGAGAGGGAGACACAGAATCTGAAGCAGGCTCCAGGCTCTGAGCTGTCAGCACAGAGCCTGACGTGGGGCTCAAACTCACAAACCTCGAGATCATGACCTGAGCTGAAGTCAGACGCTGAACCAACTGAGCCACCCAGGTACCCCCCTGCTCTTTTTTTTTTTTTTTTAGGTTTATTTATTTATTTTGAGAGAGAGAGAGAGAGCATGCACGCACCTGTACGTGAGCAGGAGAGGGACAGAGAGAGGGAGAGAGAATCCCAAGCAGGCTCTGCACTGTCAACACAGAGCCCCATGTGGGGCTCAAACTCACGAAATGTGAGATCATGACCTGAGCCAAAATCAAGAGTCTGATGCTTAATCAGCTGAGCCACCCAGGTGCCCCTAGTACTTCCTGCCTTTAAATTCGAGTTTGTCATCTAGTTGACTCCTCACCACATCTGTGGAATAGGTGCGGGAGGCGTTACTCCCCTGTGATACAATGAACCCAGCCCCCACAGAGCTGAGCAAAGCCAGCCAAACAGTCTGGGTCTAGTGACGAGAGACCAAGAACAAACGGACCAAGGGTCCTCACCGCACAGGACATGTGTTGGACCGGCCGCCACGGCCAAGGCTCTGACCTGAGTAAAGACTGCCTGTCACACGCTCTTCCTCCTGCCAGCAGCTTCTCTCATTAACGGGTTCTGTTTCCCATTAGCCAAGAGCATAATGGCCAATCAACAGATGAATGAGTCCAGACAGAGGAGGGGAGGATTCCAGGCAAAGGGTCTGCTTTCCCAGCTCATTCACTCAGCTGGCATGCCAGGTCTGCCTGGGGCCTGGGACAGGGACAGCGGTGGCAGGAACAGGGATGAGCAGGATGGCAGGACAGGTGGCGGGAACAGGGATGAGTCAGGCCTGAGGCCCCTCCCCTTGCTCCACACAGTGCATGGGGGCGTATTGTCAGGCACGATTCTAAGCACTGTGTCTGTATTTATCTCATTTAATCATTTAATGCTCAAACCGCTCTGTGACATAGGTACCATCATGAAAATTCCCATCTTATAGATAAAACCATGAGGCACAGAGATGTCACACTATGCAGCAAACCGGATGCACAGGAAAAAAAAAAAAGACTGGAATTTGCTCACTGTGTTAGGGAGTAGCTTATGAATATTGTTTTCCAGAAACCCTCTCTCCCGAGCATTTTTTTTTTAATGTTACATAACTAGGAAAACAATTATTCTTAAAGCTTGTCTAGTAGAGTGAGGGAAAAAACAAAATAGAACTGAGAGCAACCACGAGAAGTAAGAAAGCATTGTGTGGATTCCAAAGAGGAAAACGGTTTACTTTTATCCCGGGAATGTTGGTGGAGTGGTTTTTAGAGGCAGCCCTGAATGATGGGGTGAATTAGAGCCAGTGCAGAGGGGCCCAGGGTGTTCCAGACCGAGGGCCCAGGGTGAGCAAAGGCATGGACCTGGGAACAGCAGGTCGGGCTGGCTGCTGCCTGAGGCTGGGAGCGGGGAACCGGGCTGGGTTGAGAGTGTGGAGACCCTTCAGTAGGAGGCCAGGGCGTCCAGGGCTGCATGGATGGTGGGGAACCACAGAGGGTTTCGGGGGTAAGATAGGCTCCCAACATCAATCAGTTTGCAAGGACAAAGGCGTGTCCTCTCTCAATGTCTCTGGGACCTGACTCCTGTCTGTCATCTGGCTTCCAGATTACCATGGCAGCTGCCCCACGGTTCTCCCCGCCTGTCACCCTTCTGATTCCTCTTTCCAAGAAGAAAGTCCCCAAACACCTGTCTGACCACATCACACCTCCTCCAAACCTTCCACCGGCTGCCACCATCTATGGAATCCAGTCCAGGTACTGCAGCAATATGGTGTCCTGGCGGTCTGTCTCAAGAGACGGTCACTCAAACTGGTAGATTAATTTAAGATCACTGGGAGTGATCCTGCCCCTTTAAGACCCTTTTCCTGAAGGGGAGGTACCATAGGCTCTTACAGTCCATGGAGGGTTAAAATCAGATATCCCTCCTCTCTTCCTCCTGAGAGGTGACATTCTACTGGCTCTGGCATTGTCACCTCCCTCTAAGAGGGCACTGGATTTCTCCATGTCTCAAAATCCAGTCCATGAGGGGGTTGGGGTATTGGGGTCAGGAAGCCAGAGGCATGAGCACAGAGATTGCCGAGTGGTCCCTTTTATAAGTAAAGAAGTAAAGGCCCAGAGAAGTCAAGGATGTGCCCAAGTCACACAGCCGGGGTGTGGTCGGTGTGGTCGAGCTGGGATCCAGGGCCCGGGGGGTTAACATGGAGCTTGGAGGTTGGGACAGGTGACGTGTCTGACACCAGAGCCCACACTCTCCCTCCACTACCCCAGACTCCGAGCTAGGAAGCGAAGATCCACGGTCTGATGCCAGGTCCACAGGAAGGCACATGACCCATCGGTCACCAGCTCCCTGTCACCTCTCTGCCTTGGGCCTCGGGCTCCTCCCAGCCTGCGAGTTATTATCCAGGCCACCATCAGCCTCCTTAGCTTGCCTCAGTCACCGTTTGGAGTGCTATTTTCACATCGTTTTGGCTCCCTGAGCTAGAAGAAACCTTCCGGCCCCACCCCTTTTCCCACGTAGAGGAGGAAACCCAGGCTTTGGGGAAAATCGGGCGAGCTGCAGTGTTCTAGGTACCAGAGAGAGAGCAGTAAACAAAACCGATAAAGATCAGTCTTCTGATAGCATCTTCTAACACGCTAGCTAGCGGAATCCCAGGACCCAGCCTAGTCTACACTCTTCTCTGCCTCCAAAGCAGGAGTGCTCCCTGATCATCGAGTCTTCCAGACACTGCCTCTTCCAAGGGACCCTTCCTGACTGACCACCCCAGCCTGTCGCTCTCGCTTCCTCTACTGAGCACACACAGGGCTTCGTGGTTCAAGCGGCCCTGGTGTTTCTTGTCAGGGGTTGCTGGTGATTCCTGGTTTCAGGTTTCAGGTTTGTGTTGTGGGGGGGGGGGGGGCAGGGGGCCCCCCCTTCCCCTCGTCTCCTCCCTGCTCCTAGCACGGGGAAGGGTGGGGGGGGGACACCCAGCACAGACCCTCAAGGACATTTCTTCTGATGATGGACACGCTGGTGAATTTCCCAGTGCATCCTGGTTCTTACAGGGGAAGATATGATCAAGACCCCTGGCAAAGACTTGAGAGCACCCCCTGACAGGAGGCATCTCAGCAGGGGAACAGGTGAGATCCCCCCCTCCTGGGGAGAAGAGGGAAGGCAGAGGGAAGGGCCCAACATCCGGGAGGAGGGCAGGGGCAAAGGGAGACAGAGAGAGCCACCAGGGGAGGCAGGAGGAAACACAGAAGCCAGGGGAAAAGTAGGCTTCCAGAAGGGGAAGCACAGTGGTAGCCCCGACTAGAGAGAGGCCAGGCCTGCCGAGAAGCACGGGCCACCGGAAGTAGGACTCTGGAGGCCTTGGTGTCAGCAGGTCCCAGGGATTGGGGCGGAAGCCGACCACGGCTGCGTGGCCTAAGGAAGTAGGGGCAACACGTGCCTCATGGTCTACAGAAATTCGATTGAAAAAGGAGAGAAAAACGTGGGACAGTGGCCAGAGGAGGAAGCAGAGCTGAGGAAGGACGGGGAATTCAATTAAAAGGAAGGAGCCTGGAAGGCACCTGGGTGGCTCAGTCAGTTAAGTGTCCAACTTTGTTTGGCTCAGGTCATGATCTCGTGGTTTGTGCGTTCAAGGCCCACATTAGGCTCTCTGCTATCAGTATGGAGCCCGCTTCAGATCCTCTCTCCCCTTCTCTCTGCCCCTCCCCTGCTCACGAGCGGGCAGGTGCATGTGCGCTCTCTCTCTCTCAAAAATAAATAAACATTAAAATAAAAAAGAAAGGAAGGAAGGAAGGAGCCTGGGAGAGGGGAGAAGGGCACGCTTCTTGCTGGAAGGGCCAGGGAAAGTGGCAGGAGAGTCCACACAGGCCTCTGTCCCTTGCACTGTGTAGAGGAGGGTGATTTTCCAGAAAAGCACTGGGGTGATTTGAGGGGGCACAAGTGGGAAAGCCAGGACCTCCGAGTCTGGAGGTGGTGCGGGCAGCAGCAGGAGGATCCGGCTCTCAGGAGCTTTAGGAAGGGAAGAGAGGTGCTGTCCTGCTCTTGGTGGGGGTGGGGGGCAGGGGGCTGGATGGGCATCACTGAAGGGAGGGCACGGGAGTGGCTGAGGGTGCTGTGAGTTGAGGGCGGCTGCAGAGAGGGAGGTGGTGATTAGCGCCACCTTATCGCCTGGCTCCCCCAGATCACCCGTGAGCCCCTCGCAAGCCTCCACTGCCCTGTGTTTGCTCCTCTCCATACCTGAACCAGAGAGGTGAGATTTAGGTGGGGTACGGCGGGACTCCCCCACCCCCGGAGCCCCCAGCCATCCAGAAGGACAAAGAAAGGGCTTCCCCGCTGCCCACCCAGGTTGGCTACTCCTGCGATGCTGTTTGTCTTTAAGACATTGGCGACAGGAGGGGCGCCTGAGTGGTTCAGTCGGTTAAGCTTCCGACTTTGGCTCAGGTCATGATCTCAAGGCTTGTGAGTTCAAGCCCCGAGTTGGGCTCTGTGCTGACCCACTGGGAGCCTGGAGGCTGCTTTGGATTCTGTGTCTCCTGCTCTCTCTGCCCCTCCCCCACTTGTGCTCTGTCTCTCTCTCCGTCCTCAACAGGAGAATCTCTCAGAACATGCTGCTCTCTTTTTGTTTGGGGTGTAAGCAAAAGTGACAGGGGTTTAGGGGCCTTGGCAAAATGCCTGCTCCTCAAATTAGTCCCCCCCCCCCCCCGAAGAAATGCCAAGAGTATTTACCTTGGCTGCTCTAGAAGCCTCTGTCCTGCCCAGAGCCAGAACCAGGTAGGGCTCTGAGGCTCAGTGAGGGGAGGGGAAGGCCCATTGAGTGGATTCCATGAAGCCCCCTCAGTGCGCACTGCCTGCCAGGCATGGGGCGCGGTCAGCCATCCAGTGGGGCCGGGACTGGCGCAGGGACAGGCTGCCCTCACACTCCTACAGCAGCCTGCTGCACTCTTGTGTGGCATTCTTGTCCCCAGTTTCTCTAACCCCAGATAAATCTGCCTCCCCATAGCTCCCCTGTTGGATGCCAAGCCCACGGCCCATGGCACACTGGTGTTCCTCCTGTCCTGTGAGGGGCGCAAGATGTGACCCCTGCGGAGCCCTTGCTCTCTTTACCTGATGGTTCTTTGGCCACACTAGCAATGGCATTCGGTGTGTCGGTTCCCACTTTCCGGAACATGTGCTTACTCCGGGGCCCATTTTACAGGTGGTAATAACTGGGGAAGTGGGGCTAGCCTGGGGCCACACTGTCAGCCAGCGGCCACGCTGGGGTCAGAATGTTTTTGAAGTTTCCGGATCACCCTCCCTCCCCCACCCCTACCCCCAAGCAGTGAGCACTCACATGTGGCCCCCAGGCCGGTCCTCCCTGGTCAGCATTCCCTCCTTCTCCATCAGCATCTGCCGGAAAGTCCTGACCTTCTGTCGGGTCTCCTCCTCCGAGTACCTGCAGGGGCACAAGGAGGGTGAGGGCTGCCCTCTTGGCTTTCTTTCCCTCCCCACCCCACCCCCGTCCCCCCCCATCACAAGTGCACCTTCCAGCTTGCAAAGACCTGTCTGAGGTCACACGACCAAGCAAGGCTCTCAGCCCTGGGGAAGCTCAAGGCTTTTTGCGCCAAACCAGACAATCAACCAACTAAACAAGCAACGACCAGCCAAACAAATGGACCAAAAAAAGGGAAGAGTTGTCCCGGGAGGTGGGGGAAGGGGGGGAGACTGTGGGGAGGAAGCTGTGCCCTTCCTCCTGGTCCCCCCCCACTCCCAGGGCAGGTCACCCTCCCACGTCCAGGCCGCAGTCACTCTCTGGAGACGTTTTAAGGGAGAAGTGAAGGTCCAGGACTTTTCCGCTTTCCTGATCCTTACAATAGCCTTGGGAAGTCCTCAACTCATCCCGACCTCTGCAAGAGCGAGGCTGCAAGTGGCTTGTCCCAGATCCCAGTACCAGATCCATTGCTTCCCTGTTTTGGGGGGGAGGTGGGTGAAGGCTGGTCTTTTTTTTTTTTTAATGTTTATTTATTTTTGCAGAGGGAGGGAGAGAGAGAGAGAGAGAGAGAGAGCAGGGGAGGGGCAGAGAGAAGGGGAGACACAGAATCTGATGCAGGCTCCAGGCTCTGAGCGGTCAGCACAGAGCCCGATGCCGGGCTTGAACCCACAAACTGTGAGATCATGACCTGAGCCGAAGTCGGACACTTAACCGACTGAACCACCCGGGAGCCCCAAGTCTGGTCTTGAATGGAGTCCCCCAACTTCTCTATTCCCTTCCCCCCCCCCCTCCCTAAGCCTGGGTTCAGGCTAAGGACCAAAGTCCAGAATTATCACCCTTGCTCCCACCCTGGGGTCAGTCATCATCCCCTGTCACTGCATCCCTGTGACAGCCTCTTGGCTCCTCTGGCATTTCCCCCTCCAGCCTGTGTCCATGCTGCCCCGGGGCAGGGTGTGGGGGCCTTCTCTCGCTCAGCCCTGTGCCCTGTGCCTGGTGCACAGCAGATATCGCGTCTGTTGCCGGATGAATCTTGGCCTCCTAATCCCCTCACCCTCCCATCTCTGGGCTGCAGGTCATTGTCCTGGATGGAAAACATGGTGGCAAAATAGGACCGGGGTCCCGTCTTGTCTCTGTCCTTCACTCACCATCCACTCTGTCCTCACAGCAGACCCAGGCCTCTGCACTCAGTTTGTCCATGAAAATGGCACGTTGTTGCCTCTCAGGGACCCCATCTCTGTCCTCCCCTCTCTTCTCCTACCCTCCTTCCCTCCCCTTCTCCAGCAAGCATTTGGGATTGGCCCAGCCTTTTTGGAGAGCAATCTGGCAATTCCTTTCAAAAGCCAGAAGAAATGAGCACATCTTTTGCCTCACAAAATTAACTTCCTGGTTTAGCCAGTGGAAATAATCATGGCTAAGCACAAAGACGTGACTCATGGGCTGTTTACCGCAGGACAGATACCCCCGACCAGGTTAGGTTGTGTTTCCATAGCAACCTGTGCCTCCAGGTCCCAGCAGGTAGCTCCTGTGTTGTTACCTGTCGACCGACTCCTCTGTATCCTGCACTGGCTTGGGGGTTCCTGAGGGCAGAGACCTTGTCTGTCTGGATTGCCATTGTGTCCCAGCATCTGGCACCTTGCCTGCCACATGTGGCCTCCAAATTGCTTTGACAAATGAGTGACTGGTGACGGAGAGGCATCGAACAGTTTGAAGGTTGGATGTTCGTTTTGGACACTTGACTCTGGTGGCTGCGTGGCTAGAGGCGGGGGATCTGGAGGCAGGGAGGCCGGCACTGGCTACTGCAGGGCTTTGTGTGGGAGACCGTGAAGTCAGAGCTGGGCAGTGGGCGTGGGGAGTGGGCGGGAGGACCCAGGGGAAGAAGTGGACAGCAAGGCATCCAGGATGCAGGGTGGCTGGGACCTGGGGACCGCCTGCCGACTGGCTCATGCTCATCAATGTCCACCTCTGTCCCTGTTAGGCTCAGACTCGGGCATTTGGCTGCAGGTGCCTTGGCCTTGTTTGCTGGGCAGTGCAGAGCCCTTGGTCGGCTGGGCTGTCCTGGTGCCCGGGAAGAAGGGGTGGTGGCCCCTTTTCTGAGCAGTGCAGGCACATGGGAACTGCTTCCTTCTCGCCTTCTCCTCAGGGGACCAGCTTGTCATTGGCACCAACATTGAGACAGGCAGCAGAGGCCCTTCCACGCTGCCCAGACCCTGACTCGTGGATCTCTGGGTGGGAGAGACAGGCCGGCTGTCTCAGGCCATGGGGCCCTGGACCTGGTGGGGCTGGGGAGATGGCCCAAGAGCAAGGCTGGGCCGCATCCTCAGTTGAGTGGGATGGGCTTCAGGCCAGGGCCCAAGTTCCCCAGACTCCTGGAGTCTATGGAGCATAGGGGGCCGGGGGGTAGGAGCAGGACTCAGGGTTCGCTAAGACCTGGAGCAGGACATGTGCAGGAATTTAGGGCCCATCCCAGAGCAGGCAGGTCTGAGGCAAGTTGACGAACTTCAGCGCAGGCCATTGGGAGGCCAGGAGTGCTGGATTGAATCGACTTGGAGGCTTAGGGAGGACCCCTCTATGCCCCAGAGCATCTTGCTAGGAGAAGGTGGGGACCCAGGGATGACCGTCTGGTTACTGGGCAAAGAGGTGTCAGGTACAACCTCTGCCTTCAAGTCTCCTGTTCCCTCGTATCTCTTGAGGTCAGCCCTCAGCTGAGGCCACGTTGGACAGTGATTAAGGGAAGAGGTCCGAGAACCAGGCGGTCCTGCGTTTGAGTCCTGGCACCCGCCATTTTCTAGCTCTGTGACCTTGACCTCTACATCTGTGAAAAGGGACAGTGACTTGTCTTTCAAGGCTGTCACAAGGATTAAGGGAAATGATGCTTACAAAGCACTCTGCGCAGTGCGTGGCACATAATAGCTGCCCAATAAATAGTAGTGACCAAGGACCCTTTGTCCCAGAGCAGGAGGGACCGAGGGTCTAGCTGTCCCGGGCTCCCTGCCTTCTTCCACCCTACACCCCTGCCAGGTCAGCAGTCTCCCAGGTCGGGAATCACCTCCGGTCCATCTCCCTGTTCTCCCAGAGGCAAAGGCCGAGGTAGGGAGGCTGCTACCCCGTCCTTGCGAAGGTGGCAGTGCCTGCCATGCAGAGGCCTGGCAGCCGTGCCAAAGCCAGACTGGAAGTCGAAGGCTTGGCCAGGGGACTGGGGACAGGGACAGCAATGACACCTGTCTCAGTGCCCCAGGCGCCTGGCTCAGGCAACCTGGCTCCCTTGTCTCGCCTCCACTCTATGGGCCACGAGGGAACGATGTGCCAAATTCGTCGTTGCTTCCTGGACCGCCCTCTGAGGCTGGGGCAGGGTGAGGGGACACTGCATTACATTTTTTTGGGGGGCGCCTGGGTGGCGCAGTCGGTTAAGCGTCCGACTTCAGCCAGGTCACGACCTCGCGGTCCGTGAGTTCGAGCCCCGCGTCGGGCTCTGGGCTGATGGCTCAGAGCCTGGAGCCTGTTTCCGATTCTGTGTCTCCCTCTCTCTCTCTGCCCCTCCCCCGTTCATGCTCTGTCTCTCTCTGTCCCAAAAATAAATAAACGTTGAAAAAAAAAATAAAATAAAAAAAAATTTTTTAATGTATTTATTTTGAGAGAGAGAGAGAGAGAGAGAGAGAGAGAGAGAGAGAGAGCACAAGCGACGGAGGGCCAGAGAGAAAGAGACAAAATCCCAAGCAGGCTCTGCACCATCAGTGCAAAGCCCGATGCAGGGCCTGAACTCCCAAACTGTGAGATCCTGACCTGAGGTGAAATCAAGAGCTAGACACTTAACCAACTGACTGTGTCACGCAGGTGCCCCAGAATACTGCATTTTAAAAGAGGTCCTCAGAGTTGAAAATGTTTCATTCTGCCTGTCTCCACCCAGACTGGGATGCTCCTACGTAATCACTTCCTGGGTCCCTGGGTCACTAATTTGTTCTTGACTCCAGCTCGGAGAGGGTGGGCGGTCTTCCTCTTCCCATTTGACGGATTTGGAAACAGAACAGGGAGAAGGGAGGCTCCAAGCTCCAAGCCCCAGAGCATGGCTCTGCCTGCCTCCGGGGCAGAGGAAGGGGCACAGGTTGGGGCTGGGGTGGGAACAGCACATCACACAGGCGAGGGACTCTGTCCCTGGCCCCATGGTGATTGCAGGCTGCGTGAAGGTGATTCCAATGCAGCATCAATCACCAGTGAATTAGCCATCCATCCATCAATATTAAGGAAGGGATTGCTTTTTAATGGGGCCAAAGAATGTGTGTTCCTGTGACTAGTGGGAATATCTGTCAAATGCCTGAGAACCTGGTAAACAGACTCGAATGAACCCGTGTTTGTAGAAATGGATATTAATGACCGGATTTTGTAACAGAGCAAGGGTCCCCAGTGTTTGTGGAGCACCTTCTGGGGACTGGCTGGAGGTGGGAGAGCCCTGTACATCTTCAGCCCACAGGACGTAGAACAACTCCCAGTAGCCATAGCTTGCTCAGTTCTGGATTGTTGGGTTCCGGAGTGGCTGTGCCCTCCACTGACCAGGCTGCCGCTAGGGGTTTGGGGGCGGGGGGAGGGGCACTGGTGACTTGAGAGCTAGCTTTACAGGAGACTCCAGGCTAAGGACCATCTGGAGTGAGGGCTTGGGCAGGTCACGATCTTGCGGTCCGTGAGTTCGAGCCCCGTGTCAGGCTCTGGGCTGATGGCTCAGAACCTGGAGCCTGTTTCCGATTCTGTGTCTCCCTCTCTCTCTGCCCCTATCCCGTTCATGCTCTGTCTCTCTCTGTCCCAAAAATAAATAAACGTTGGAGTGAGGGCTTGGGTAGGGTAAGGGGTCCTGACTGGAGACCTAGTGGGTGCGTCCCAGAGAGGCACGGTCCTTGATGCCAGGGGACCAACACTGAGGTCATGGTCAAATGACCTCTGCCTGACCATCCCCTCTGCGTGAGGCTGCCCTCATCCTGCGATGACCTTCTTGTGTGCCGTGAGGGTCTGGGGGCTCCTGGAGGAGAGGGAGATTCAGCCAGGGGAGGAGGCTTGGGGAGGGGAGGAGCCCCATGAGAGGGGTGCCTTAGGGATTCCCTGGGAGGATGGGGCTCTTCAAGGGGGAGAGAGGGGGCTCAGGAAGGAGGTGGGGCTGTGGGAGGGGGAGGGGACAGTTTCCAAGAATGCAGCGCAGAAGGCTGGCCCTCTTCTGGCCCAGGCGCCCCTCCTGTTCCCTCAACTCGCCCACCTGCCCGTCAACCCTTCACTGCCCAAGTCGCCCCAACTTATTGGGATTTGCAGGTTGAAATAAGGTCCGTGGGCTCTCCTCTTCCCACCCCTACTTGACCCTGCCCCTGGGGATCTCATTTCCTCTGTCCACATCCACGGCTCATCAAACCTGGTTTCATTGCCAGCTGGAAGCCTCCTTTCCGTCTGCCTTCAGCTGCTTTCCATCCATTTATCCCTCTCGGCAGGGACCCCCCCACCCCCACCTGGTCCCCAGCTGGAGATGAACACCAAGTCTCTGTGTCTCAGGGGCCCTGCCTGGCAGCCTCCCTGAGGACCCTGGATCTGGGCCCAGCCTTGGCTCTGCCTGCAGCCAGGGACTGTCTCTGTCTGAGCTTCAGTGTCTTCCTGGGCTCTATAGTGATGGTGAACCATGTCTTGGCTGCCTCTTGGGGAGCCCAGAGGCCTGGACGGACAAAGGCGAGGCTTAGAAGCACTTCTGTACACAGGCTGTCTGTCCCAGTGTGGCTCCGGGCCCCAGTGCACTGGGCATTTCCAACTTGTCAGCTCCCCAACAGTGCCAGTCTGATGGGCGGGCCCTGCTCCTCACTTTGACTCCCTCAACAGCCAGCCCAATAGTTTCAAAATCCTCAGGGTAGATACAAAATGGAAACTCAAGACTACCAGCTTTCCTTAGAGCTGCACAAATGGGAATGGCTTTGTTCTGTTTCTTTGCCTCCAGCCCCATGTGTCAGGCCTGTCCTGTCTCCACTGGACTTTTGAGGAAAGTCCCTAAAAAGAGCCTTACTGACTGATCGATGCACAAGCCCTGGCGAACCCCTACTCATCCTTCAAGGCCCATTCGAATGTCTCCTCTCAGAATCTCTCCTCTGAGCTCCTGAAGTGCTTGGTCCTCTCCTGTCCTGTCCTTTAACCACGATTCCAATCCGTTTTATGCTGGAGTTGGCTCTAAACATGGTTGTCTCTCTTCTCAGTCGGGGAGGGAGTGAGGGGCAGTCTTTGAGGAAGTGACCCTGATCCAGCTCCAACATTGTGCAGCACGGTGGCTGGCGCACTTGTGTGTCCCTGTGACTGGGTTTGAACTGGACAGGTAACACTGAAGCTTCTGGGTGTGGCTGCTGGCTGGGGTTCCTCTGCTGAAACCACAGGTAGCCTTGTACTAAAAAAAGCCCATCGTCCCCTCTTGCCTGGCTGCAGCACCCACCTTGGCACAGTCCAGGAAGCTCAGTAGAGTTGTTTTCGAGAAGGGGAAACTGAGACCTTGAGTTGGTTAGCATAGGTGTTTGCTTGCTTCTCCCCCGCCCCCCCCCCCCGGACTGGATGTTTCTGGAAGACATGGACTGTGTGTCTCCTTGGCTTCTGTGAATCTGAGCCTAGTTCAGAGCTTGAAGTAGAGCAGGCGGCCAAGACGGTTGATAAATGAATACAAGAAGGCAAGTTCTGGCCTTGCAGTGGCTCCACCTGGACTGGCTCCGAGTGCGGCCCCTCCCAGCCTGACTGCAGTCCGAGCCTCGCCCGGCCCCGCCCCGCCCCGTGACCCGCCCCGCCCCGTGGCCCGCTCACCCTTGCTCCTCCATCATCTCCTGCAGCTCCATGCACTTGAGCTCCACGCGCCGCTTGCGCTCGTGGTCCAGGATCTCGCGATGCGCGCGCTTTACCAGGCCCGGCTCCGCGGCGCGCAGCTCCTCCTCGGCCCGCGGCCAGGTCCCCGAGGAGGCCCCCGGCTGAGGGAAGCCGTTCGCCGCGTCCGGTGGGGACGGCATGCCGGCCGCCCCGTTGTTCACGGTGGAGGACATGGCGGCTGGCCCCGGAGCCGCTGGCCTCGGCCCTGCGAGACAGACACAGACACCAGGCGGGATGGTCACTTCTCGGCCACCTGCTAAGCTCCTCTCCGCGCGGGTTAATCCTGGAGATTTAAAGGCCCACTCATGGCTCTAATCCGCTCCCCCTCAAGCTGCAGAGGGGGGCGAACGTCAGGTTAGCACCTTCGGGTCACGCCTCAGGGCATGAGGGGAGATTGGACCCCAGGCTTTCCCATCTGTAAAGTGGGTTCATGCAGGTTGGACTAGATGGCCTCTAAGGGCCCTGTGCTTGGAATAGTCCTCTCCAGGGAGGGACCTAGCAACCGCTTAGGGCAACCCTCTCTCCCTTGTACCAGTTCCTGGGCCTGAATTCTAGCCTCTGCTTGCAACTCCCTTGTGGTTGTAGGCAACCACATTGGTCTCTGGGAAAACGTGTTAGGTTGTTGTTGTTTTTTTTAAGTTTGGTTACTTGCTTGCTTGCTTATTTATTTGTTTGTTTGTTTATTTATTTAAGTAATCTCTACACCCATCGTGGGGCTCAAACTCACAGCCCTGAGATCAAGACTCACATGCTCTTCACACAGAGCCAGCCAGGTGCCCCAGGTAAAATTTGTTTGTTTTTTGTTTTTCCCTTCAGCCTCAGTTGAACCCCCCACCTCCTCCCCCCAAACACCCATTGTCCTGCTGGCCCATGCGGTCACGTGTGTCCCCAGCTCCCAGGGCAGCCCTGCGGAGATAGGAAGATGAAGTCAACTGCATTCCCACCACAGATGCAGGTTGCAGTTGATCTGGCCAACTTTCCCAAAGCCAGCCTTCCAGCGGTGGGCCAGATCCAGACTGAAGCCCCACAGGTCTGTCCCCTCCTTTGTTCTGGAAACACTGCTTCTGAAGATACAACCAAATTGGCACTGACATTAGCTTTCCAGACAGCCACATCCTCCTGCAGGCTCAGGGCGAGGTGGGCGTCAGCATGTCTTGAAAGGTAAGGCTCCACACTAGGCTCAAAGCAGAGTAGGCATACACACACGTGCAAGCACACGCACGCGCACACGCGCACACACACACCAAGGACCTATCTTGACAGAGGGGAGGCACCTCCTGAGCTATTTCCATTTCCTTTCTCCTAGGCTCCAGCTAGTTGCTAAGCAACAGGGAGGCCTTCTTCCCAGCGAGTGGGATGGGAGAGAGGGAAGGGGTGGAGGGAGGTGGGAAGAAGGGATTGGGCATGTCTGGACATCCTGGACGGGGCCTTTCCTGCAACACAACCTCCCAACACACATTCCCCTCATGGGCCTCAGAGTGATGGCGTGGGAGGTGTTCAGAGCCACAAAACCTGGAAGGTAGAGAAGGGGACAGAGTGACAGACAGGGATGATGAGGTGGCGATGAGAACATAAGCTCATGTGTCCATCCCCCTAAATCCCAAGTCCCTGGGTTCTAGGCCAGGCTCCTCACTCCTTGCTGTGTCACCCTGAGGATGTCACTGACCCTTTCCGAGCCTCTGGTCCCTACCTGTGCCTGGGAGCATCATCCAGATTTTTCAGGAGAGGAAGGCTTTTGGGACTTTACAGACCAAACCTGTTCTTCTAACCTCTCTCTCCATCCCTAAGCCCTGCCAGCTTCCTGCCTCTGTCCTAGCCCAGCCCTGCACCCCAGCTCCACCGGGGCCTCTCCTGGGGTCACCCACAAGCATCCCACACTCATCAAGCCCCACACAGAGCTCTGGGAGCCCTGTTCTCCACCTGCCTTGGCCATAGTGCTTGGCCCATGGGTGACCCTTCTGGCTGTTGGTCACCTGTGCCAGGAACACATGTGGAGCTTGGAGACCCCTGCTGCCCCGGCCCATCACAGCTCACCTGTCAGCAAGTTTGGTCCCCCATCCCTTCTTGGTATCACTTCCATTTATCCACTCGCTCCCCTCCTGTTGCCACCAAAATCCAAGCCCCTCACTCTGATCTGCTGCTCCGGCATCCTGCCCGCCTCCCCGCCCCCTCATCAGCAACCTGAGAGATCAGTCCAGGAGCAAATCAGACTGTGTCATGACCTGAGTAACAGCTTCTGGTGGCTTCCGGTCGCTTAAAGTCGTGCCACAGCCTGCCTTCTGGTCTAGCTGTAACCACCCCACGGACACCCTGCCACACAGATTCCGCATCTCTCTTGTGTCCAGGCTTTTCCATTCAGTGCTCCCTTTCCCTGGGACTCCTTCTCTTCTCCTGACTCCTTTGTGTCCCCAGAGTCACTGCCCATAGGCATCACCACCTTCTCGAAGGCTTCCCTTAAACCCCGTGGCTGGTGCCGTCCTGCCAGAGCCCTTGCCGCTCACTGTTGTCACTGTGGACTCACGGGTCTGGCTCCCTCTGTGCTGGGGACAGTTTGGCTTTCAACTCCTAGTGCCAGCAAAGTGCCTGAGCGAGCGGGCGGTGCCCAGTGCACCTGGATGGAACAAACAGAAGATATCACAACACGAGGCGGGACAGAGGACTACCTGGTATAGTCCTTAATATGGGTTGCAAGATCCCTTCGCATTTTGCCTTACGCTGTCCTGCAACTTTATCCCGTGCTACACCTCCTCCTGCAAACAACATCCAGCCCTTCGGCCTTGGTCATCTGTCCCAAGGCATGTGCTCACTCCTTTGTGTCCTATGGTTCCCCTATGCTGGGATTCCAATTCCTCACTTTTCCACCTGGGGGACTTGTGTTCATCCTTCAGGGCCCAGAGATGTCACCGCCTCCGGGAAGCTGTCCCTGCTTCTGAGGAAGGGTGAGCCATTATCTCCTTGTGCTCTAGCTCTGTCCTCACCTCTATAGATAACGGAAGTTCGACTTGTTCTTTGCATCTGACCCCCCTTCTGAACTGTGAGCGCTTTGGGGGGATGGATCCCTTCTTTCTGGTTCCCCAGAGCCTACCCAGCACTGGCAATGGAAGAGGCGAGCTGAGGGTATAGGGATAAAGTGCTTAGGCCTCGGGGGAGCCAGGTTCTGAGAGATGCTGCTTTGCACTCTTTCCTTCTGACATGGGCGTGGTGCCCTTGCCTAGAAGTTTGTTTGAGCTCCTTGAAGGCAGAGGAGGGGAAGCTGGTGGGAGCAGTGCTGAGCACACATCTCCAGACCCTGAGCTGTTCTATCCCTAGAATCAGGAGAACGCCCGGCTAAGTAAGATTGCTGGACTGTCCAGGTAATCTTTCAGACGTGTCTCTAAGAAGTAAAAGAGAGAGGTGCATAGGCATGGGGGCAGGGACAGTCTGGATTTTCACTAGGACAGACGGTGGATTCTCCCAGCTTCACCTGGTGAGTTGGAGGCCACTAGACAGGAACCAGAGGCAGGTGATTGGAGGATGACCCCTGAACCCCAAGACGAGGGGCCAGGCCCCTAAGAGTCATTGCACGTGAAACCTGCTTCTTTCCAAGTTGCAGTTGCTGGGCCTGCGGACCAGGGAGTTACTGCAGACACACGGTCTCTCTGAGAGGCATTTGACATTATTTTTTATGGAATCCCTGTGAAATTGCATAAAGAGAGAGAAAGATTGCGATTTATTGGAACTAATATCCTGTTCTGCACCGTTGTAATTGGCGGATAGATTGACCTGTGCTCAAAGGGAGCTGATTAATGGGTTGATGTCACATTAGATGGAGGTATTTAGTGAAGGACCACAGGACAGGGCTCTGTCCTCACCCATGTCTGATCCCGTATGGTCACCACTGACTGGATGGAACATTGATAATCTGATGATCAGATTCATAGACGACAGCATGAGGGAAAGCTTCTAAATACAATCAGTTTCTAGAAGGACTCAACAGGCTAGAAAGATGGGAGGAATTGAAGAAGGTTGAGCAGGACAGTGAGAAATCCCTCACTTGGAAACTGGATCCCGAATTCACTTTCTAAAAATGGGATAGACATAATTTAAAGCAGCGTATTTAGAAAGGATTTAGGGGTTTTTCAATGGTCACGACCCAATTTGAGTCAGTATCATAGCGTGGTGCTAGAAGTGCGTGTTCTCTTAGGCTACATCAACAAAAACACAATGTCTAGAAGGGGGAGGTGATAAGAATATACAGGTGGTCAGAATCCCCATCTCGAAATACTTGAAGGATGGTGGAGGATTTAGGCCAAACCTGGCTGAGTCTGTGGGGAAGCTTGTTAAAATGAGGTAGGGCTTCCAGATTTGGCAAATGAAAATACAGGATGCACAGCAAAATTAAACTAGAAATTCATGAATTTCACATTTGGGGCAGACTTATACCAAAAAAAATTCCTTGTTTATCTGAAATTCAGAAAATTTTTAGGAGGGAATCTTTTTTTTTTTTAATTTTTAAAAAATGTTTACTTACTTATGAGAGAGACAGAGACAGAATGCGAGTGGGTTAGGGGCAGAGAGAGAGGGAGACACAGAAGCAGAAGCAGGCTCCAGGCTCTGAGTTGTCAGCACAGAGCCCGATGTGGGGCTCGAACTCACAAGCCGTGAGATCATGACCCGAGCCAAAGTCGGACGCTCAACCGACTGAGCCACCCAGGCGCCCCAAGAGGGAATCTTTTTTTTAATGCTTATTTATTTTTGAGAGAGGGAGAGTGAGGGTGGGGCAGAGAGAGAGAGAGAGAGGGAGAGGGGATCTGAGGCAGGCTCCGTGCTGATAGCAGAGAGCCCAATGTGGGGCTGGAACTCACAAACCATGACATCATGACCTGAGCTGAAATCAAGAGTCAGACGCTTAAACAACTGAGCCACCCAGGCACCCCTGAAATTCAAATTTAACTGGGTGTCTTGTATTTTATATGTCTATCCTACCTGGGACCCACCCCAGACCTACTGAATCCAAGTCTCTGGGGCATTGTTAATGTTTGCCCAGTGATTCTGACAACACACTATCTCTGGACCGGCAGCTGGGGGCTGGCGTCTAGAACAGCAGTGCTAAATTTTATTTTTTTAAAAAAATTTTTTTTCAACTTTTTTTTTTTTTTTTTTTTTTTGGGACAGAGAGAGACAGAGCATGAATGGGGGAGGGGCAGAGAGAGAGGGAGACACAGA